TGTACTTACGTTAGAATCTGTATGCAGGGTTCGTCGCTTTCGACAGATTCAAGTCACTTCTGCAGGATGAGAATGGCAAGATCTCGGGTCCAAGAACGGTAATTGCTGGCTTTGGAGCTGGCTTCACTGAATCTCTTTTAGCAGTGACACCATTCGAGAGCATTAAAACGCAATTGTCCGTTGCCTTAAAGCCCCAGCCCTTGCTACATACCCTTGACCACTTCATGCAACGATGCATGGTGAAGCTGATATATAAAAACCCGCAGGATTGACGATCGCAAATCTGCAAACCCTCGTATGCGGGGGTTCTTGCACGGTAGTAAACTGATATTCCAGGAGCGAGGTATTCGAGGTTTTTTCCAGGGGTTCGTTCCTACAACTGCCAGACAAGCCGCCAACTCCGCGACCAGATTCTCAAGTTATACTATGTTAAAGCAACTAGCTGAAAGCTATGTTGCACCCGGAGAGAAGCTGGGAACGGCAAGCACCTTCGCTATCGGCGGTATGGCAGGCTTTATAACAGTGTGAGTTAATGCAACACTTGAAAAGCTGCTGCTTCTCCATGGCTATGAGACATAGCGACGACTAATACACCATTTTTGCACAGATATGTCACACAACCTCTTGATACTGTCAAAACCAGGTTTGCTAATGGCCACATTATGTGTGATTTTTTTTACGGTACTAATACGATAGCAGAATGCAATCGCTGGAAGCTTCTAAGAACTATAAGAATAGTTTTGTCTGTGCAGCAAGGATATTCAAAGATGAGGGGTTACTTACATTCTGGTCCGGGGCAGTTCCGCGACTTGCCAGATTGATCTTAAGCGGGGGCATAGTGTTCACAATGTTTGTTTACACTAAGTTCAACCATCGTTTTTAGGCTTGATAACTAACCGCGTTCAAATTAACAGGTATGAGAAGACGATGGACGCTCTCGATTCTCTAGACCCGAAGAGACAATATATCTGATGCTGAGGAAGCAATGAACGCAGGGCAGCAATTGGTCTCTTGAACGCTATATTGCAGCATCACAGCTAATATGCTTCGGTTGTATCTTAATACATAGCACTGACAAAAAACCGCATTTTATATATCTACAGCACTCGACTGAGGAATAGTACTAGTACAGAAAAGTCAGCGCCTTGTTAACACTTTGACTCGTTTTTATGGGCGTGAAGCTTCCTTGTCTTTTGCTAGCTCGTCAGCAACCAGCGCTGCCACTTCTTGGTCAACGAGCCAGGACCGTACACTCTCCATGACAGTTTCGAGGCCTTCACCACCATCCAAAACATCATTCAAATTATGTATGGTGATGCCACTTCGATGGTCTGTGCAACGACTCTGGCCATAATTGTACGTGCGAATTTTGTCCCCGCGGCCCATACGAGCAACACCCCCCAACACCCCTCTTCTGAGTTCCACGAGTTCCTGCTCGCGAGCTTCTTGCCTCGCCTCGGCTAATCTGGCGCGTAAGATCTGCCAGGCTTTTTTGCGGTTTGCGTGTTGAGATCGAGAATCCTGCATGGAGACAACGATACCTGTGGGCATGTGAGTCAAACGAATAGCTGACTCTGTCTTGTTCACGTGTTGTCCCCCTGCACCACCAGCTCGCATCTTCTCGCTACGAACCTCCTGGGGATCAACGTAGTAGTCACTGCTCGGATCATCAAAGTTGAGCGCGTTATCCATGCTACCTCCTGTCTCTGGGAAGCTAGGCAGAACCATCACGCTCACAGCACTAGTGTGCGTACGTCCCTTAGTCTCTGTTGCTGGAACTCTCTGCACACGGTGTACCCCCGACTCGGTTCTGAGTATCTCATAAGCCCCATCTGCCTCAACTTCCATTATTGCTTCACTTAGCCGATCCTCCGCAGGGCCATCTCCAACGTCCAGCTTAACAATATTGGACCGAAAACCACGACGAGAGCAGAATGCAGTATACATCCTCAGGAGTTCGAAGGCGAAAAGTCCCGCCTCATCTCCACCTGCGCCAGGCCGTATCTCGAGAAGGCAAGGAAGCGCTGCAAAAGGGTGGCGGGGGACAAGGGTCTGTTTCAAGTTTTCCGATATAGTCGGCAAAGCAGCCTTGACGGTTTCCAAATCTTCAATGGCCAAAGATCTGAGCTCAAGATCTGTGTCCGGGTCAACAAGCAGGGCATTGAGCTCTGATATAGACTAGGAAAGAGATGAAAGCCGCTCCATTAGCAAGTTATCCCATCTAAAGTGAAAAAGCTTAAGAGGTATGGACATACTTCATTGGTCCTGTCCCATTCTTCCAAGACATTTGCAATCGGTGCTAGCTCGCCTACCCGCTTTGCTATTCTTCCATCAAAGGAATCCGCTAAATGAGCAGAAAGTTTAGAATGCTCGGCTGCCAAAGAGCGAGCGCGGGAGAGCAGCGATGAAGAAAGGTCAGGGCCTAACTGACTTGTCAGTCATTCGGCAACCCCACAGAGTATCAAACATGCATTGAGAGATAATAAACATTGTCTCTCAACTACCCGTACTTGTATTCAGTCCCCGCCATTGGAGAGACGGCCACGGCCTTTTAATAGCAGCTCTAGTCCCAAACCGCGTCAGGCATCGAGAGCATATCCAAAGGACATTAAGCATGCTTTGTTCTCAAAACAGGAGAATACGTCAGTCTCACAATAGTCCATGAGCTTCACATTCACTTAGCCAAGAACGATTCAATGGGCGTGCACATGCAGTATCTACTTATACTAGTCACGCTCCCCTTCAATCAGATACCAAATCACATGACTTGAACACATACGTACATACTGCAACAAAAAAAAAAAAAAAAAACTTGACAAATCGATGAAAGAAAGGGCTCCAGTTCTTGAGGTGGGTCTGAGGTCAAGGTAGGATGTTGTTGCATTGAACTAAAAATTACGGGAGTACTCGTCAGGGAATATGCTAGATCATGGAGGCGGGTGTGCTGACTAATTTTGATACACCGCCTGAAAACTGCGTCCCCAATACTCAACATTTCACCACTTGTAATTTACCATATGTAATTGAGTTGTAAAGGCCAGACTGGAGTCTTGGCATACATTTCTCCCTCAGGCTGCTGTTATTAACTTCACTTATCGCCATAGATTTGATCATGTAAATACGTCTTCTGCCTTTTCAAGGGCATTCATTCTGCTCCTGCAATCGCAGTTTTTGGACTTCTTCTAACCTTTTTTTGAATACTCGCTTATTTTCAGATAGTTGACCAGGCCCGTGAGATCAACTAACCCGTCCGAACCAGATTGCCTTTTGCGTCAGTATAAGCATGATGCTCCTTTCCTTGGAGTCTCTTACGATCTTCCTGGCTGTTTCATCAGCCAGTTATGGTCTTCAACCTTCACAAATTCCTTCAGACACCCCTCTGTCGTCGTTGATCACATCGGCGAAGACACATCTCGCTGGTGGTTCTCCCCGCAATGCTTTACTCTATTTCGACGCGGCTGTGTCGAAGGATCCTACGAATTACATCACTGTCTTCCAGCGGGGTGCGGCTTATTTGTCACTGGGTAAAAGTTCTCAGGCATTAGATGATTTCGACCGAGTTCTGCAGTTAAAACCAGATTTTGAGAGTGCCCTCCTGCAACGAGCTCGCCTTCGAGCTAGCACTGCTGACTGGGAAGGCGCGCTGAAGGATCTGGAAAAGGCCGGCAAGAAGTCATCTTTGGAATACAATGAGGTTCAAGGGGCACGGGATGCTGCAGCTCTTGCGCAGAATGCTGAGCAACACGGCGCTTGGGAGGCCTGCGTAAATCAAGCGAATGTGGCCATACTTAAGGCGAGCGCCTCCCTAAGTCTACGACAAACTCGCGCACACTGCCGCTTCGAAAAAGGTGATGTAGAAGAAGGAATAAGTGACCTTGCCCATGTCCTACATATCGCCCCAAGTCTGGTGGACCCGCACTTACAAATGTCCTCCATGCTGTTCTATGCTTTGGGAGACCAAGAACGGGGCATTTCACAAATTCGGAGGTGTCTTCATTTTGACCCCGACTCAAAACCGTGCAACACCCTTTATCGGAAAGAGAAGAAACTCCTCAAACAGCTGCGGAAACTACAGGATACAATGTCTTCGCGGAAATTTAGCAATGCCATCAACTTGCTTGTAGGTGTTGGTGATGAAAGCGGACTTCTTGACGATGTGAAAGGCGAGGTGAGGGAAGCGATGGAAGCAGGCCATATCCACCCCGCGGCCCCCAACAATCTCTATGGTTTACTGGTTGAGCGCACCTGCGAAGCTTACCGCGAGGTTTGTGCCCTTAGGAAGGCGTCCAGTTGACATGACCCCAATTGGCTAATGCATTTATTTCTCAGGCGCATATGCCCAAGCGAGCTTCTCCGTACTGCTCCGAAACCCTTGACATGAACCCTTATTCTCTGCCAGCACTACTCTTTCAGAGTCAAGCGGCTCTTGATGAAGAGCGTTTCCATGACGCTATAAACATGTTAAATACAGCAAAAGAGCATCACCCTGGGTCCAGGGATGTGCAATCACTTTTACAGAAGGCACATGTCTTATTGAAGCGCTCAAAGCAGAGGGACTATTACAAAGTTTTGGGTGTCAGCCGAGATGCTGATGACCGGACAATCAAAAGAGCCTACCGTCAACTTACTAAACAGCATCACCCCGATAAAGCTAAGTCCCAGGGTGTGACGAAAGAGGAAGCTGAGAAGAAGATGGCTGCTATTAATGAAGCTTATGAAATCCTTTCTGACTCCGAACTCAAGGCGCGTTACGACAGTGGTGATGACCCCAATGACCTGGAATCTCACAGGGGCAACCCGTTTCAAGGAAGCCCATTCGGGCCAGGAGGCGGTCAACAGTTTTTCTTCCAGCAAGGCGGACCACAGTTTAAATTCTCAGGTCAAGGATTCAACTTTCCAGGGGGTTTCCCTTTTCGCTGATGTTGACAGCTAGTCTGTATACTCAAGATAAAAATTTTGTATACTTTTATTCACTAAACTCAAGACTTCAAAGGAATCATATCATAACTATTGCTATAATCTCGGCGAAATTGACCTCGACTTTTGTGAAACTATCCATGTAAAATTCAATGCCGGCAGTCTTCCACATAGTTCACTCAGGGTCTCTTAATGTCGAATGCTAAAACCACATTATGTCCAACGGTTTGCTTACTTCTTTGGCGGGTCGGTCAGCGGAACATAGCTAACCTGGAACACCTTTTCCTTGTGGATTGACCCGTCCTCCCTCTTGTCCACTACCCAAATATATTGGCCGCCGCCAAAAAGAGCACTTTCGTCACACTCAGTATCAACGGGAATAAACATTCGGCCCGGGGCATGGAGTTGCGCGATTAGTACAGAATGAAGCTTTTCCGCCGCTGCACCAACGTGGATAGCATCATACGGTGCTCCCTCTTGCCATCCCAAACGGCCGTCAGCAGTAATAAACTTCACCCTTCCTGTATCTAACAATTTGCGCCCTTGATCCGACTTGTGCATATTTTTATCAGCCAAGTCAACAAGTTCTGGTATATGATCAATTCCAATAACATGGCCATTTGAGTCATCAGGTATGGAGGGATCTGTAACAAGATTTGCGAGGACATGGGTCAGATAGCCAGAACCCGAGCCAATATCGAGTACCCGCGAACCTGGCCTGAGGAAATCGATGAGGTACTCGCATGCATGACCGTGCATGTGAGGAGCGGAGATTGTCGCACCATACCCAATAGGTTGTGGGGAGTCCGAGTAAGGCCTGGAAGGTGCATAATGGGCTCGATCAACCTTGCACCTTAATGTCAGAGACACGTCTTGGGTAGGGAAGTGCACGTGCAGCCAATGCTCTCTCACCCACACCTCTATCTTTACCCCACTGTTACATTCCCGGCCCTACTGTAAGATCCACAGCCCCGCCATTTTGCGCAGGGCCAGGGTAAGGAGATGGCACAGCACATGAGATGTTAAAAACTTGAGGGAGCCACTCACCCCCAACATAGCCTTTTTTACTCTTTCATTCTTCACTAACCCCGCCTTAAAGAGATTATCAACCAGTTCCGCATTGGTTGAGCCAGAGCAATACCACGCCATAGAGATGCACTTCGTGGTGGCCTTGCGCAGTACTGGGTGTGCATTTAGATAACTCTGGATCATGCGAGGGAGCTATGCTCTACCTAACGTAAGAGGAAGGCGATCCAGGGAAACTTAGTATTTAGATAAAATAAAGCGACGATGATCGCAAGAAGACCCTGAGGCTTGCAAATAGGCTATACCGTCGTGTTATGCTGCTTAACTCCCGGTTTATTCTTCAAGATCCGTACTGGGCTCCTCAAAATATCAATTAGAAGAGGCTCGGACTCTTCACTTCGGCCTTAAAAAGGCGTTGTGGCTACTACCGTCTAGTATGACGCCATTCTAACATCGATGGTCACGTGTAGGGTTGCTCAATAATATCTCACCGCTTTTGGCTCTTACATTAGCAAGGTTGACTTTTGTTTTTGTTTCCCGACCCAACTAATATGACATTTACCACGGTTCATAGAACTTGAATGATATCCTCGCTATTTCGTTAAGAACCACAAGACTGCATCACAATAATGCACAATGGAAGCAGGCTCCGATACTCAGTCTGATGTAGACCTATTAATATTGGACTACCTACTTTGCATCTCTATATACAGATTGGTATACACCAGCGGAGTGGAGCAGCCCAACGAATGCGACCTCGATTGGCATATTAATACAGTACACGGTATGTCTCGGGATAGTTTAACATGTCATTTCAAAGGACACGCTGACTTACTTTTGATTAATCTTTAGCTTTTGAGTCATTTCTTCCACACTCTGGACTACTTCCTGATGACATTCAAGTCAAGGTCCAATTATTTAAATTTGCCAATGCCCTCCGATATTATCCAGATACACGTAATACTTCTCAAGCTCGCGAACCCCGATTAAGTTCTAGTAAATATTGGTCAGAAGAAAAATCAATTTCGCTTTCTGAGTTAGCGGGGACGTTCATCACTCTCTGCTACACTATTGGTGCCAGGCTATCAGAAGCGACGTGGGCTGATACAGCAGCACAATTTGTCATGCAGGCTGCAGTCGAAGAGTACCGAAAGTCCGAGTCCTCGGCTTCTCTCAGCAAGCATATCACCTGGGCCAAGAACATCTCAGATCAAACGGCAAGCAAGAACAAAGCGTTTACAGACTGCATGAGCTATCTTCAGCCACCAGATGGGACATCTGTCAATGTTCACATGCGTACTATTTCCGCGAAGTTCCCCATTAATAAGTTCAAATGTGCGGTTTTCGACACGTTGGTTAAAATCATGAAGGTCCTTGAGCCACCTATACTGATTCAGCTCGAACGTGGGCAGCTCTGGGGGTTGAGCCGCGCGGAGACGAAGCAATTGAAGGATAGGGTAGGACTCAAATAACAAAACCCCACCAAGCCATGCACACTAGTGAAAGCGGGTCATTGGTTTGAAAAGGTACGGTACACACAGCGGGGCAAAAGTCCCACGACCTAAGAAAGCTACAATGCTCAAGGTTCTTGATTAACATGGAATTGATAATATATATCTTGCACACAAGGTGGTTAATCTACAAAATAAAACATATATGCCATGGGGCAGGTGTTGGGAGTAGAAAGAAGCATAGTTAGCAAAGCTACTGGGCCAATGAGCAGAGCACAGACGTTTAGCCGAGAAGCATGCGGCGAGGATCTTCAATGTACTCCTTGACCTGCATTGAACTGCGCTTAGTGATGGGTTCAAAAGCCTCAATTTGAGGGGTAGGGAACAAACCTTGACAAGGAAAGTAACAGCCTCCCGGCCATCCAAAAGGCGATGGTCATAGGTCAGAGCAAGATACATCATCTATCAGAGCATCAGTAACCAAAGTCCACCGGCAGAGGAAAAGTGAGGGGGTGGCAAAGGAGACGTACAGGGCGTATCTCGATTTTGCCATTCACAACAACTGGTTTTTCTTTGATAGCATGGAGACCAAGAACAGCTTTCGATAGTTAGATGAGCTCCTCAAACAAAGAGCGGTGTTAAAACATACCTGTCTGTGGTAGGTTGATGATCGGTGTACCCATGAGGGATCCAAAGACGCCACCCTATATCAAAGTTAACACAAACACACAATGCCAGACGCGTGCATGTACTCACGTTACTGATGGTGAAAGAGCCCCCCGCCATGTCCTCAATGGTCAGCTTATTGTCTCGAGCCTGCCGAATTCGATGGTCAGAAAAGCCACAGAGCAAAAATGAATGTCTGCTGCAGCTTACCTTCTTTCCGAGGTCCGCAATGGCCTTTTCAATACCAACAAGATCCATGGTTTCGGCGTTGCGCACTACTGGTGTTACAAGGCCCTTCTCAGTGGCGACAGCGACACTTATATCGACGTAATCACGGTAGACAATGGTATCGCCACCATTGGGCCCCTCAATCGACGCATTAACAGCCGGGATGTCTTTCATAGCTAGTACGCAAGCACGAGAAAACGCGCTCATGAAGCCGAGCTTAACACCGGTCTTCTTAAGCACATCGTCCTTGTATAACTTCCGAAAGTCCATGAGAGAAGACATATCCACCTCATTGAACGTAGTCAGGGAAGCAGCCGTGTTCTGAGATTGCTTCAAACGCTCAGCTATCCTCAGTCTCATTCTATTCATTTTCACCTAAGAGTCGATCAGCCTAAGACCAGAAGAAGACGAACAGTAACAGGCAAGGATACGGTACGAAAAGAGAACATACCCTTCGCTCTTCGCGATTTCCAGGACCGGGCTTAGCATCATCGCTAATTTCTGGCTTAGAGACAGCGGGCTGTGGCTGCTTGGAAGGTCCAGGCTCAGGTACGGAAGGCTTTTCAGAAGCTGGAGAAGCCTTTGCGGCCTTGGACTGTTCTGGCTCGGGGGCTTTGGGTTCTTCTGTAGGTGCGGGCTCCTTTGGCTTTTCAGTTGCCTCCTCCGTTTTGGTCTCAGGTGCACCTCCCAGCTCTAACTTTGCCAGTTCCTGTCCGACAGTGACGGTGTCTTCCTCGTTTACGAGAAGCTCTTTGATGGTTCCCGCTTCAGGAGCATTTACCGACACATCGATCTAAAATGAACGGGCGTCAACAGAAAACCCTCTCTTTGCGCATTAGGATGTAGGTCTCGTTCACCTTATCGGTCTCGATTGTCGCTATTTCCTCGTCTCTCTCAACATAATCTCCGACCTCTTTTGCAAGAGTGAGCGCAAGCTAGTAAGGAAGTATTGGCGAACATACGTTTGGAGAACTGTTTCAAAGTACCCTCGGTGATAGACTCTGCCATTTGAGGAACTTTAACTATGGTGTCCGCTGAAAAAGTTGTTAGTGCGAGATTCCGAAAGAAACAGAGGCCATATTACCGTAAGTGCGAATCTGATAGCCCCCAAGGGGAGCGAAACTAGACCGAAAAACATTGGCCCTGCAGGAGTGTAAGCTGGTTTGTAAAGAGGAAATGAGTGGGCGACTTTACCCCAGAACCAGTGGTACACCAGAAGCAGGCCGGCTAGAGTTCCTGACACAGTTGCGGAGCGCAGCTGAGGTAAGATTCCTGCGGGTGCCCAAGCTGATGTTACGAGATCTTTGGGCAAATCGAGGTATGGCCCGCAGATTTTGTTCGGGGAGACGGTGAAGAGGTAAGCGAAAAGCCATGATGACCTAGATTTGGAGGTTGGGCAAGAAGACAACAATGGAGTTCGCCAATTGAGGGAAATCAATGCAGAGAATCAAGTCGTAAATGTTAGAGATGTGCAAGTAAGAATAGGGAGAGTACGGCCTTCTTTTTTCTTCGTTTTTCTCCCCCAGAACTTGCTAGAGCTAAGGGTTCATCTACCTGTAAGTAGGGATAAAGTGAGTGACGAAACTTAAGCGGCCAAAGGAAGCGACTAGAGCAAGGCCGGGCCGAGACAACCGGAATTTCCCTCAAAGCGGTCGCAATCCCTGTGACCGGCAAATGAACGGAGTATTATTATTACGCTTCTTCGGCAACCCATAAGCACCATCTGGGAAGTTTCCGCATTTAGGACTTCACCGGGCGAAAGACGAAGCTAAACTTGTGTAGCAAACCGGGTGAGCAACGAAGCACACTGCATCAATATTCGGTGGAAAGACTCATTCCAGCTCAGACAGATCCCTTTCCAGCTATACTGACCAGCTTTAAGTCTTTCAATTCTCCATTGCGTGACACACCATGGCCCTTCACCCTGTTGCGTAAGTTGGTCGCGGTTGAGGCAATGATCATGAGGGAGCCATACTAAACCTACCTCGCAGGTCGCTTTATCGACGTTCCCTAAAGCTTGCTCTTGACTGGGCTGTGCACAGACAGATATGGCGCGGGCAAGCAGTGTATATACGGTCCCTTTTCGATGCGAATAAGAATGTCCGCGATCCGCGTCAACAGAAGGTATATGCAGCTCGGTTTTCTCAGTTACATGGTTTATGCATACAGTATCTCACAAACTAGCAGGTGCTGCTGCGGGAGACTGAAAAACTATTAGAAACTTGGAAACACCCCGACCCGTACCGAGCACCCACTGCCCCGGGAGGTATGCATAATTTAAACCACAAAGCTTGCTTCCTCTAAATGAATCGAATGACTGACTTTCCTAAAGGTAACAAATATGAAAGGAATCTACCTGCTCGTCAATTACCTTGTACGTCGACCATGGTGATGCCCACCCAATATTTTAGCCCACTAATATTGAATCAGATGCTTCGGGCAGCCACTAGAGAGAGGATACAAGGTTGTTATAGGTTTACTTTATTTTCAGATAGGAAATGGAAATCCTATAACACCGCTACCAATACAGCAATCAGCGCACAAATTCGAAATCATTGGGTCTGCAGAAAGCCGAGGTTCTACATTGGAAGCAATCCCTACTCGTGGGTACATAGTATGCCGGATCAAAATGCATAACTTATCATTGGGGACATGCGCATCCCTTAAAGCTAATGTGCCGAAAGCTCATGTCCTTTGAAAGCTGCCGGTATCATTCCATGTCCGTAGACATAATGTACAACCATAAAATTAAATCAGAAAAAACGCAGAGCCATAAACGTGCCCAGTCCAGAACCCCGTTATCACATCAATAAGAGAACCAAACCACGCCGAATGAGAAAACCCAAATAAAAACAAACAATTCACAGCTCCTGGCTAGGACCCTTTCCGCTCTTGGGGGTCTTCTTGGGGAGAAGGTCTAGTTCCATGTTAGAATCGATCCAATATTAGAGTGCCCGGTACGCTTACTTTGGTGGATGTTGGGCAGAACACCGCCCTGGGCAATGGTAACGTGACCCAGCAGCTTGTTCAACTCCTCATCGTTACGAATGGCGAGCTGGAGATGGCGGGGGATAATACGGGTCTTCTTGTTATCACGGGCAGCATTGCCGGCCAACTCAAGAATTTCGGCTGCGAGATACTCCAGGACGGCTGCGAGGTAAACAGGTGCGCCTGTGACGCGTAAGTATAGATACGGTATGGGGTGACTGTGGACTCACCAGCACCAACACGCTGAGCGTAGTTGCCCTTGCGGAGCAAACGGTGAACACGTCCGACGGGGAACGCGAGACCGGCCTTAGACGAACGGCTAAAAATATATTAGCTTGAATAACTGACGCGAGGACAAAATTCATTCATACGATTGCGCGTTCTTGCTGCCGCTGGCTTTGCCTCCAGACTTGCCTCCAGTCATTTTTGCGATTGGAAATGGTTCGACGAAGCTTAAAGATGTGAATAGAAGAGGTTATTAAGGTCGTCGATGAAACACGATGGCAATGATTTGGGTACGGTGTCAAAAGCAAATGGCCAGCGCGAGGAAGCGGCGGACATTTATAACGACGCGGTGAGGGTGACGTTGGGCCGCCTAGACGCCCTTCAGATCACCCTCTCGCTTAGCGGGGTTGGCCAATCACAGTGGAGATCATCGCCAGAGACATCCATAGCTTGGCCAGATGCGCCTGCCATGATTCCGTGTGTAGTTGTTATGGTATCGTTCCCAATATGGTTAAGCGTTGTAATTTATGAATATATCTTTCAATACTGTCATCTTGGCGTGATCTTAGTCAGTTATCCGCGGCTGGAGACGCGTTTCCCCTCATCTAATCATACAGATCATACACACATGTGACGGTATTGAAATTCTGCTTCCTTTGCGCACCCAGGATCAACTGCACTTTCGCGGGCTAGTATAAGTAGCGCGCCTCCCTCGTCACCGCGTCTCCATCATTTCTGTTCTCCTCCTCATTCCACGTCTACCTTTATCAACGATTCCAACGCCTGCGCTTTCGCCATCCTTTGATAATATCGACTTTAGTTTTTTAACAATTTTATTTCCTGAATCACTTGAACAAAATGGCACCCAAAGCTGCTGAAAAGAAGCCCAGCACTGGCGGCAAGGCCCCGGCTGGCGGCAAGGCCCCCGCTGAGAAGAAGGAAGCTGGCAAGAAGACTGCGGCTGCTGCCTCTGGTGACAAGAAGAAGCGCGGAAAGACCAGGAAGGAGACCTACTCTTCTTACATCTACAAGGGTTTGTGGCAACGTTGTCGTAGTTCTGAGGTCAGAAAGCTAACGCCAAGTATAGTCTTGAAGCAGGTTCATCCCGATACTGGAATTTCCACTCGTGCCATGTCTATTCTGAACTCCTTTGTCAATGGTATTTCATCCTCTTTGCTTGGTGAGCGAGTATTTCTCTAATCTGTCTGCAGACATCTTCGAGCGTGTCGCAACCGAGGCCTCCAAACTGGCTGCTTATAACAAGAAGTCCACTATCTCGTCAAGGGAGATTCAGACCTCGTACGTCATATCAATAATGATTTAACGCTATTCGGCTAACTCTTTTTCCAGTGTCAGACTTATCCTGCCTGGTGAACTGGCGAAGCATGCCGTGTCGGAAGGCACCAAGGCCGTGACGAAGTACTCCTCTTCTGCCAAATAAGCTGTTTTCTTTTCTGTTGTTTGTTTTTATGCAGGATTGTCTTTTACTACCTCGTTATCTGTTATGGTTTGAGGTGGTGGGTACAGGGTGTTCGCGGGATTTTTAATGCGTCACGGGATGGCTTTGTTTTTCCCCATTGGGCCAAATGTTTTTCATGGTTTTATTTGAGACGTGAATGCGTTGTAACATAACTCGGTGCTCCTGGGTCTGGTTGCGCAGTAGCAACTTTCAAACTAGGGTTCGAAATTTGAATTACTCTGACACATTCTGTTCTTCACTGTTTTGAAGCTAAGGGAGTGGCGCCTCTTTGTAGCGGGCGTTTGGTTCTATCTATTCGGCGTCATCCAGTACCTCAACTTCATCGAGTGCCTCCCTTCTACCTTGGTTGTAGGTAGTCTCCGCTCCATTGAACACATGTATGATTCTTTTCCCCGCTATTGAGCCTATACGCCCCTTCCAATCCTCCCAGTCATCTTCGTTCTTCACAAGGAACCCTATTAACATACTCGGGTCCATATCTTGTATATGAATGCGTCTGAGTCGGCGAGTGTGGTAGGTACTGATTTCCTCATTGGAGAGGAATCTACCATCGATGCTGTATGGGAGTGCGGGGCGCGTGGTATGGGGATCAAGATAGAAGAGATGCGAGCCTTGCGTGCCGATGAAGTAATGAGACGCGGAAGGACGACCTCTGGTGCATGTCAGGGGTATCAGCACGCTTCGGTTGCTAGCTATGGCCAGACGCTGGGGGTGTAGACTTACCCTGCGATACCTACCGACTGTGGCAATTGCAAAACGGCTTTGAGTCCATCCCAGTACACTGGCGTGACGTTGTCAATTCCCAGCCGAGTCCCTAGAAGTATCAGTGTGGGCTGAATACTGCCCGAGCCATTGCGAGCCACACGCAGGAAACTATCTTCGTAGACGTCTGAGGTATCGTTTGTGACATATACTCTAGGTGCCATATTCCCACATTGTGCTGAGAGTGCCCTGTTTACTGGTAAGTCTCATGCTCTGGGGGCGTAGTGGTATTAAGCGCATACTCTATACATCTAGCGGTTGCTGACGGCCCGAACCACTCCCCGGGGTATTTACCGCATGACTCGGCGCCATGTTTAACAAATCGATGTATCGAGAGGGGTGCGTCGGGGTGATCAGCAAACAGAGATAGTAGGTGGGCCTCTTCTTCTGCTTTGTCCCCACGGCGCCAGGCTAGGATGTGTTAGCACGGTGACTACATGGAACGAGAGGATTGTATCGGAGTTATTATGTGTATATGTAGGGTTAAGGGAGCGCCATACCACGACCTAGGCATAATGTAAGCATTGCATTTGCTAGCAAGCTCTGCCCGGATCTGATCATGCAACCCCATCCTGTGTCTGATGTGAAGCCTTGAGGGTCCATTAGCTGGGTTCTCAGGCGTACAGTTAGCGTCATCGAATGATTCGCTTCGTCGTTGTCCGGCCTTGGTATTGGAGGGAAATCAGATCGATACGTCATCCAGATCTTCGACTCGAAGTCCGAGATGAATGCCGCTGGCCAGCCATATGCCGTTACATCGTCTATTGTGCTTGTTCCAGCGTCAAGCTCATCCCGCTCTATTCGCCCACATATATCAGTGACCTTCCGCCCTTGTGAATAATGATGGTGGAACGGTCCACTGGCTTACCGGAAGTAGTGTTTGCTGTAGGTTTTGGAAGCTGCGAGGCATACTCTACTCCCAGGCACCAAATAGAGGCATCTGGCTCTTCGTCATTCCTGGGCTCGGGATCCCATAGATATTGTACGATGCGTTTTCTGCACCGCCCTATATCTACACTGTTCATTTTTAGGTGCAGTCAGTGTGTGTCTGGGAGTTATGGTTGTTGCGATGACGTTCACTGGCGGGTTATGGTTAGCTGGGTGGTGAAATACGGTTGGTTAAATATATACATGCACCGGGACATATGTATATACGACTAGCTCCCAGTTCAAGGCGGTACCATAAAACAACCCAAAAGAAAGCACAACAGGAAGTATCAGATAAGAAAAGTACCGCAGTTCAACGATAATTATTGGCGACAGTTACTTAAAGAAACCTCTATCCTATGATGGGCCGAGGAGGGGCCATAACTGCACCAGTCACGAGATACCTACACATAATACTTTACCTCCTATCTCAAGTCATGTAAACGTCATTGCTTCACCATAATCAACACGTGTACATGCTGGGTTGAGGTGCTGCGCCCGCCCATGGGACATCGAAAGACTCATCATGCCCGAATCTTTTATTATTATTTGATATATTACTCCGTACTCTTATTACCTTTGTTGTTTCTTCACTTCTCCAAAAGCGGGGCGTCAAGGGTACCCCAGTACTTAGTAAGCTCTGAGTGACTAAGCCCCATCAGTAAATCAACCACAATCGGCGACCAGCCCGCCACGGACATAGTTAAAATACACCCGCTTATTAAGTGTCTAAGATTTTATGAACTCATTGTACCCAAGTTCAGAGAAGAACGTCGATATATCTAGAGCAAACCAAATACTAAAGATTATTCGAAATGGCTCGCCACAGTAAGGCGAAAGCGCGGATCAAGAGGCAGAAGCCGACGATGAAGTCCAGTACAGGTATTGCTACAGGAATAATCAGCGTTAGGTTATTTATTAGCTGACTGCTTGAAGACCACCAACCAGAATACTTGACGATGCAGCAAGAAGCAAGGAACACAGAAGGCCGGAGTTTGTGGCGTACTGGCTCCAATTTGCGCCACCAAGGAGTCCGTTTTGTGAGCGCAGGTAACACCCAGCGGAATGAAAACAACGGGGGAGAGGCTCGTGAAGGGGGCGCCCCCTGGCCAGAAGAAAGCAACAAGCAACCGCCCACGGGAAGGGTTGAGTCGAAGGAGGATGCACAGGGATTGAAAAACAAACGCGCAAAGCGCAACGCGTCATTCTTCGTCGACCTATCAGGCGAAAGTGGTGCACACACTGGGCTTGCAGACCCCGTTACCACAGTCTCACTATCCGAGTGTGACAACTCCAGCGAAGATGAAATAGTGTTTCATGGGCGGCGTAGACTTGAAGAAAGACCTCGTATCATTGTTGAAGGCCATGCGATGAAAGCTGCTGAAACAAATTACCTCTCGCCAAAAGAACTCGAATCGCCACCCGAGACAAGGCCACCCACACCGGACTACAAGGTGTGTCCGGTATCCGATGGCATATCAACATATGAGCTGCCACATAGAAATCCACGAACAGCGGATAATATCGAGCAGACGAAGACTGTGATGCAATACGCGGAGAAAGTTACCCAGGAGGTATCGGAAAGTGAAGATGACGATATACTAGCTGACTATATAGCAAACATGGCCGAAAATTACTACGCCGATCTACATAGCTCACTAGCTGGTGCTATGACGCACGAGCCCGAGTATGGGGTAGAGATGCCACCGCAGAACACTACGATCCATGCGCCCATTTGCGATTCTATTCGTCGTTCCGGCAAAGGGGAATATTCGCGTAGGGATATCTTGTCGGAACGTAAGCGCAAAATGATCCCGCCGTCAAAGTTCATGCTGAAATCAGTAGATGGCGAGAGTGAAGTGAATGTTACCAACGATGCAGGATCGTACGCGCTCCACGATGTTGCCTCGGCGAGTAACCATGATCTACACAGCTCCCAAGTCAATGACTCCGACGAAGGGGACGCTCTTGATACTGACCTAGACATTGAGAGACTTCAGGCACTGGAGTGCGAAGTGCAAGGACGCACCGCCCTTTTTCAACAGAACCGCAAAGACTCACAATATGGTATATTCGCCTCGGCCACTGCTTTCGCCGACGCCTTGGAAATTGACCCCTATTACGGCTTAGATATCATGGATTTTAACAGGCCAAGCCTTCGGAAAAAGCAAAGAGGAAAGCATCGCAATCCAGACTTGGTCTTATCGGACAGTGAACTGGAATTGGAACTGGAGAATGCCTGGCGGAATGACCGAGAGAAGAAGAAAGCCCGAAAGCAGAAACGAGAAGAACTTCGCTCCCAAGGTCTCCTAGGTCGAGGGGCACATGACCCAGATCTGAGAAGCAAATATACAAACGGCATGGGGTTTAGTGATTTGAAGACGGAGATACGCATTTTCCTACTGTCGTCAAGAACCAGGTATGTTTTTTGCTCAATTAACTCACCAATAAATGCTTACTGATTAACCTGCACGTCTAGTTTGGCTCTTCCGCCTATGACGAAGCATCGTAGGAAACTGATTCATGATCTAGCAAATGCGCTGTCTTTAAATTCACAATCACGAGGCAAGGGGTCCTCTAGATTTCCCATACTGCACAAGACTTCCCGGACTCCGAGGTACACACAAAAGACCATTTCCTATATCGACCAGATATTCTCAAAAGGAAAGTTTAACCACGCAGCCACCAAATCATGGGATCACAAGATCACAAAGTCTGCTAAACCACCTCGTGGTCGTCCGGACAGTTCTGTCTCATACATGGATGGAGATATTGTCGGCGCATCTGCTCCGGAGATTGGAGCAGGAAACAAGGGCAGAGCAATACTGGAAAGAATGGGTTGGAGTACGGGAACAGCTCTTGGTGCTACTAACAATAAGGGTATCCTGTTACCAGTCGCGCATGTTGTGAAAAATACCAAGGCTGGTCTAGGGTAGGCTTACCTCGTCGAGTAATAAGTGTGGTCTCATCAAAGTATATCCGTACCGCTTCTAGCAATATATGCTAACTGTACATGTCAATAAAAAAAAATCAAACATGTCTGGGTTTTGGACGGCACAATGATGCCTCTAGTGTACCTGATCCCGACCATAGAAGCCTGCCCAGGTAATGAAACTTTGGCACGGATGAGGAAAGGCAACAAGCAAGCTTCTTTGCTTTGTCTATTGCCTCGTTTTTTGCGTATCGGCCATGGATGAGGGTTGAGCGTGATCAAACTCGTGGATATGAATAAACAATTGAGACCTTGAGGGAAAAATAGCGTAGCAAGTGGCACATTTAATATTCTGGGGTTGGTTCATTGCACGCTGGGCCTTTTTCGCACGTTTTTGCTTAGCCTTTCCCACTTTTGGTGGAAAATTTTGCGAGTCCTCTATTTCAGTTGTTGAGAACTGCTGCGACAGGTTGTCTAGAGATTCCATCTCTGCCGTTTGTTGGTTTAGCGTGGTTTGAGAACCTAATCGCTGTTCAACACACTCCCTAGGTACATAATCGGCGTCGCTGAGATCTGGCATAGAGTCCCCATGGCAACCTGTGTCCGCCGAGGAACCTTCATCAGGTTTAATATCAACTCTAGTATTAGAAGAGGTATACTTGTCTGTTCCGGCACTGCTTCTTGTCGCGTTATCCCGTGGTTGTTGGACTGATGACGCCATATTGTGCACTGGGTTGTCCTGTGGATTGTTATGGGTAGAATTATCCCATTGGGGCTCTTCGGGGTTAGAGGCGTTTCCTTTCAGGCCCAGCTCTTCATTCTGTGCTCTCATCTCCCAGCGTAGCTGCTTCACAGCTTTTATATGCTTCTTGCTGCGTTCGTGGGCCTCGAGTTGATTATGACTTTTAAAGGTTTTCTGACATGCAACGCACTCAAAATACTCAACTTCGTCCTCGCCTGTATCGCTGGATTCCTCACCCGGACTTTCCGCCTTTGCCCAATCTTGCATCACATGATCACGCAGTTTCGCCTGGTTTGCTGCTCGTGATCTGGCTGCCTGTGCAGCTGCTGATTGACGAAGAAATTCCTGCCGTTGTGATTCACTATATGCGTTAGACTTGTACCGGGGATCGCGCTTCTTCACAAAAGCTACAAGCGACCTAACAGCCTCGTTGAATTCCCGAATGGCATCTTCCCTGAGACGCTTGTTTTCCTTCTCCATCAGTCTGCGAACGCGACGATCTGGTGCTTCAGAGTAACGGTACACATCTTTCCAGGCGAAGGACTTTTTCGTAGAAAAACTACCCCAGGCAGCATAGAATGGACGTACAACCTCTTCAGGGTCGGCGTTGCAGTTTCCAAATGTAGGATACGTTATGCACGCAACATTCTCCCAGCGGCAGGCCATTGTCTCCTCTAGGGCAAGCCGTGCGAATGTTTCACGCAAGGCACCGTAAAATCCGGTTGGCGCGTCTGTAAATTCCATCCGAGGACTGAATTTTGAGAATAATTTTAGGATGTCGTCGGAGGTTGTCATCCGCGTATCGTATGAATAATCGGCCCCTTCTGGCTTGCCATCGTTTCCTAGGAAAACATCACGGTGCGAGTCATACCACGCACGCTCCTGGGCGTCTGAGAGGACTTCGTATGCAGATTGAATTTCGGCGAACAGCCTGGTAGCAGCCTCCACGTTGCCATAGTTTCTATCCGGGTGTAGCTCCAGAGCCCTTCTTCTGTAGGCCTTTTTTATCCTGACATAGCATATCAATTAAACATCTTCCCAGTACGTACTGTCTGATATACTTGAACTTACTCCTCGCCAGATGCATTTCGTTCGACCTGGAGCAGCTCGTAGTAATCTACCTTCTTCTCCTCTGGTTGATTTATGTCCGAGCCTGCTCCATCGTGGCTGTTCGAGGAATGCGTCTGTCCCATGGATGATTGACCACAGCAGGATATAGTGTTAAATTCGGAGTGAGGGGCATGGAATAGTGGCGGGTTGCGGGGGTTACGGCCTTGCCTAGGTTTATCATGTGTGGTGTACGAAAAGTGGCGGGGTGGCGGCTATATTTATATAAATGTGTGCGTGCGCGTGTGCGTGCATGTGTCTCACAAATCATCCCCTATGTAGAGCTTGTGGCTATGCTTGATTGCACACTGGATGATCTATAGACAGGGGGAAATTGCCTACACATGAATGTGAATCCCGAGAGGATATAGGCGTAAGCCCTATAATCAACAGATTGAACAAAGCACCCATATGCATGCCTTCTTTTTCAGCCAAGGCCAATGGTAGCCCCCGTCCTAGCGGAATTTAATCTTGATTAAATGCTACTCCATACTCCGTACTCAGTACCCATAACCCACCTTTCCCCACCCCCAGGGGTTAAGTTCACATCGATTCAATTTCTGGTTGATACATTCCAGCGGGATGGTGTTATCTCTCGACAATCTTCCTGAAGAGATAATCCACACTATCCTATGCTACTGCCGCCCCTGCTCCGCGGCTGCTTTGCAGCAGACAGCCCATCGATTCGAACATTCTACCAACGAGCCTTTACTGTGGCGGTTCTACTGCCAAGCGTATTATAAGTACTGGGACAGCAAACATGATATACTACAAAAATTGTCGGCTCCCGTCTGCGCAGTAGACTGGAAGGCCTTATACGTATCTAGACACCTGACCGACTGCACTGCTAGCCATCTCCTAGATAGTATCCTTGCGGGACAAACGGGGAGAATCGAAAAGTTTCGCGCACTTATCGACCTTGGATACGATGTTAAAGATACACTTATAAGGAACATTTCACCAGAATTAGAGACAGATGACCATCTAGCAAGAAGGTTTGTTTGAATTACCTGTTTTTCGCCGGGCTTCATTGACAGAACTGTGGTGACCACTAAAAGGTATTATGGCAATGTGCTCCTGACCTGTTTACACCGGAGTATTGCGTTACCAGTATGGGCTAGACTGAGGAATGGTGGGAATGTAGCCCTAGAACGAGCACTCGGCGCCTTCGACCTTTTCATACCAGAAAGCGGATATGGAAGTCTCGCCGAAGTACGTACACTTGCTACGAATGGGCAGTGGCCTTGCTAATCGAGCTCTAGATAACTAACAAGCTGGATGAAATCGTTGGACGACTTTCCTCGTTATACCCCAGCATAAATATGTTCACACCTCGCGATAAGGCGAGGACTATTGCAGTATATTTGAAGTCAAACAACCTGACTGGTATTCAACCGGATAGGGAGTACCACTGCTTAGAGCACAATTTCCTGGGTGTTGCACTGAATGACCCAAACCACGATTCGCTTCCCCTAGTGTCTGCGGCTATATATTGCTACGTTGCCCAGAGGCTTGGTCTAAATGCTCGACCTTGTGGGTTCCCTTTCCATGTCCATGTTATTGTCAAACCTCCACCGGGGCTCGATGTAGATGGCAATGTGCTAGGGCCGGGGGTTTCTGGAGATCCTATTTATATGGACCCATTTCGTTCGGATAGAGAGACTCCAGTCATGAATCTACAACGCCAGCTGAACTATCTGGGAGCATCTAGTGTCGAGCAGTCGACCTTTCTAGATGAATCTCGGACCTCGGAGATCGTTTTAAGGTGCAGCAAGAATATACTGAATTCGGTCCAGCGCATGTCTCAGTATCCAGATGTGCATTTGGAGCCAGTGGATACTGTTAGTGCGAAGTATGCTGCCCTTTGGTCGACGATGCTTCTTTCTGACCCCTCTCGACCCGCCGAGTTTCGACACCATCTACCTTGGCTGATGGAGTTGTTTGCCACGGAATTTCCATCCGATATATACCTTGTCGAACAGTATGTAGTCCCGATATTTCGTGGGTTGCTCGAATATGAGCATATCCTAGAGAGTCTCCACGTCATGCGGGCCGTGGACGAGATTCCAAAGCAGGTGAAGAGACGTTATTCTGGTCGATGCGATGTGAAGTACTGCATCGGTCAGGTTTTCCGACATCGTCGGTATAACTACATAGCTATCATAACTGGTTGGGACACTGAATGCGATGCAGGCGAGCAGTGGATGAGGAGGATGGGGATTGATCGTTTGCAGGGAGGCAGGCATCAAAGCTTCTACCACGTTCTGTATGTTTAATTACGATTGGCGATGCGCTGCCAGGCTGACCCATACTCCAGTGTCCAGGATAGAAGTGTGCGATATGTGGCAGAGGAGAATATCGAGCTTCTGGCCCCAAATATCTCTGATCTGCCTACAACCCTTACTGCAATCGCAGGGAAGCATTTCAAGCGATGGGACGAAGAAACTCGATCCTTTGTGAGCAACATCAAAGACGAGTATCCGGATGATTAAAGGATATTGACAACATGGGTCTGAGGGGCTGTGCCATTATTGTCTAGTGGCCATTGCAGTACGGCCGTGAATGCCTCTCATCATGCTCTGATACAGATGCTTCAAATTCTTATATATCAGCAATGAATCTACTGAGTATAGTTGCCTCTTTGTAGAATACAAAGTGTGTAGGGATTTATACATTGTAGAGAAGGCCCTCGGATATGAGGGCTGCAGAAATAATCCATAAGGAGGCTGAAAGTTGTCATTCTCGCATAGCAAAGGACCTGCTAGGATCCCCCCTGCGTGGGCTCGTGTGTAGCCGGGGGTGAGGAGGAGGAGGAGGAGGGGGGGGTATATCTATATTGGTTGTTAGCTTAGACTTAGGAACTTCAACCTCGACTGAAGAACATAAGCTGCCGTTGCAGAAGCCGTAGATATATTCAGTTGATTAGCTACTTGCTACGGTGGTTCATTACACTTAACCCCTCCTGTGTTATCTGTAACTGCTGTGGATAACAGGTCAAGTCTAGTAGAATTAGGATCTTTACTGCTTGCTCAGAGTGTTCTATATAAATTGCAATCCTACCCATGCCACACTTACTATCTCGATCTTCTCCACCAGGGTAGTATAACGAGCTAGCCCAGTTAGACAAAAGCAGTTATCTGTACTCGCCTCCTACCCCACCCCCAAATTCTTTCCTTTTCATATCACATCGTTACTGAACCAGGCTTACTGTTTGCTAGCAAAGGTAGAGGTCGAGGAGGAAGATGGAATAATGTAAGATGGTGGATCAGTATTACGTTTGAAGCACTGGGCTCCCCCAGTTTATTGCTTCTTCTACATGATACCCAAACACAAGGCGATAAAGGTCGCGTAGCCAAGGTAACTTTCCACGTTGCATCATTTCTTGGACAGCCCTTGATATATCCACTGCACTCGCCTGGGCCTGCGGGCCAGCATTTTGGAACACTGGGTCAATTCCAACGAATCTTTTGTAATTTTCAAGAAGGGACATTTGCCAGGGCAACGAGCCGAATGCGTCCGATGAAAGAGATTTAACAAAGGATGATAGACTCTGTGTTCCGTTGCGTTGGTAACCGCTATTCACTGCGGCCTTCGTTATTAAGATCCTGAGACTTGAGAAATTTGGATCATTAGTCGGAATCGTGACCGTGTTGGTCGAAGATGTCTGTTCAGAAGAGTGAGTTTGTATCGAGTTACTAGACGAATTGGACGACAATTTAACATAGGAGTTGTGGGCTGACGATCTCCGACCTAAAACGAAGATGTCTGGAATAGGTCCTTCGTCGGGAGAAATGGTGGTTGCGTCCTCAAAGATAGTTGTTGGCGTTTCAGGATGTCGATGTGGTCCAGACAACTCGCCTCTGAGGCTGTGACTGGGTTGGCTGGTCTGCTGCTCAATCTGATAAAATATCGCTTGGCTCGGCCGCGGCGTTCCACGATCAGAATCGCGAAGGCTCCGTTGCGTCCATCCTTCCCGAAATATATCGCAAAGCTCCCAGCAAGCCTGAACAGCAGAGCCGAGTAATACCTCGCTCAAACGACCTCCCTCTTTCTTACTCTGGCGTATGCTGAACAACATCTCCGCTAGTGACCAGCATGCGCTTAATAAAGAGTCCATTTCTGTCACTAGAGCTCTTTGCTTCATGAGACGATGACACAGCGTAATATAAAAATCTAATGTCCTCTCCCTAAAGGCGTCGGGCAAATCTCGATCGTGCGTGTTATATAGATGATTGTTAAGTTCAAAGCTGACGCGAAAAACCGAATCCGTCAGTTCATTCTCGTGAACTCGACTGTCAAACAGTGTTTGACAAAAGTTTCGGCAGAGATCAAGTGTAGGGCTGATTTGGTAGGTGTAGTTTTCGTTCTGGCAACTGTAAAGTTCCTGGCACAGCTGCCAGCATGATTTCCAGGCCTCTTCTTGCATGCCAGCGCCGATATTGGACCGCTGCCGGTTAATATAGCTTAAACTGGCTAAAGTATTGCAAAGGGACCAACATTCAGCCAAGGCGATCTTCAATGTCTTCAGTTCAGCTTCTCCATCGGAGAAGTTCTCTATGGTTAAGTTGAATGTGCCTGTCTCACCCACTTGCCGGCTGGCCTTCTCTGGGCCAGTCCCTTCTGGTATATCTACACTAATCTTAGTGATGAGTCTAGCGATCGTTGCCCCATAGGTCAGGCGGGAGGACTACCTTACCCTTACGATTGCTTGAGTGCGATATTTCGTCGATCTCATCATCAAAGTCTCGCATTGTCTGCGCTCGAGGAGTCGCTCGCTCAGACCAATCTCTCGTAGGTTCAATCGCAGTAGCCAGCGATGGCGGCGATAATGGATGGTTAGAAGATTTCTAACAAGTTTAGTTTACTCAGCGGTGATGTTAAGAGCAATTAAGTACCTTTTCTGTTTCTTCGGAAATAGTTGGAGGCGCGTGGTGTCTTTCCCTCTCGAAATCAGCGAAAGCATCTGATTGAAGTGTAGTTATGCCACTAGATGACTGTTGTGTGTATATACTCTACGTTTGGTAAGTTTTAGCAAGGCACTCTGCATGGGTGTCAAAACGTATATGCAGGAACACCCACGAAGTCATTGAAGCCAGGAGGTACATGTATAATAGATTGTGGGGGCTCATCATCATCATCATCCTCTTCCAAGCTTCCTTCAACGTTACCGTGGTTTGAGTTTGCTATTCGTATCTGTTATAGAGCTCTTGTTAATCTGCTATTCTGAATCTCTATATTGCTTTCGATGGTATTCGGTAGCCCCTCCATACATACAGCAAATTCTGGTCTACTGATATTGTCAGGCTGCGGTGAATAAGAGATGGTTGTAGACGTGACCGCCAGCCGCCCAGTTTCATTGTCATCATTGTTTTGAGTTTCAGTTTTTCTTGTCCCAGCGCGCATAGATGACAGGGGAAATGAATGGGGATTGCTCATTAACTTGATGTTTGATATAGAAAGATGGCTATCGGTAGACCTGCACTGGTTAACCCATAAGCAAACAATATATCAGACATCACTTACATTCTGATAGAGCTGGGTTAGAAAGTCGATGGATACGAGCCGGGATTCAAAAGCTGGAAGATGGTAAACAAGCAGGTATCATATTGTAGCTGCCCCCAATGTCGAATGTTCGATAAGATTATACCTCTAACATATTGTGGGCGGGAGTCTCGACATCAAAGTTGTAGACTTGATGAAAGTATGATATTCCTATTTGTATGGCTACCGCCCTGTGTACTGGTTACAAAGGCGTTCACCTGCCATTGAAATGTGGGGAAGCCCCGCGCGCTAGTACTTAAAGGCGTCTTAAGCAAATCCATGTCTGCTACTCGTAGCTCATCCCAGGCATCCTACTACACCTTAAATAAAGCTTTTAGAAAGAATAGTAGGGTTGTTAACCTTGAAGGGATGTATTTATAGATTATATAAAATCGGAGAGAGTAGTACTAGTACTCAAGGTACAGTTATGGGCATTCAGTGGAAGTAATAAACTATAGGTATCTATACAGTAGGTGATCACCTGACACCCGGTCCCACCTGCCGCCCGATTTCACCACCACCAGCGATATCGAATATGAAGCAATTCAACCACATGTAATTACTATTATCGCGAGATATTTTGATAGATTAATATAGTCATTATTAGGACTCTATATACAATTTTTAATTGTTCCGAAAGCGCTGTAGGAGTCGGATCTCGCGGCCTCAACAATTTACTGTTAGAGGGGTCTCAGAAACTTCTATAGACATTGTTAATCTGGTTACTATAGATTTTTTCTGATATAAAGCTTTAGAAGCCTTCTTTAAAGACTTCTTTGTCTACTGGAAATTATTTTAAAGCTGTCAATCCGCCCTTTTTACTAGACAAGTATCCTCCTTTTATTATTTCTTTTACTCTATCTCGACTCTAGCAGCTGTAATTCTCGCTGGAATACCTGATTTCTCTTTTACTCTTTAAGTAAGCGTTCTTTCTCCTCTTTAGTAAACTGTCGACAGATCTTATCTTACTCCTTTAACACCTTAGTAAGTTGTATAGCTTTATCCTTCTATATTTAAAGATCACAAGTCTGCTAAATCTTTTAAGAAAAGTAAAAAACTACACCACTATTCTCAGAGACTGTGAGCTCAAACTGTAAGAGTTTCCTATATTAATACTTCTTCTTCTTATTCTGGAGGGCTAATTCGAGGCCTTAGCAATATAGTTTAAGAATAATATTCTGTATAGAGAGATAATATATCGTCAAACTCAATTTCTTGGTGTTTTTATTATATATATCAGTAACAACTCAATTCAGAAGTTTCTCAATCCTCCGCTAGTTCTCCGCCTGTAGGATTGAGCGCGAGAAATCGCTTAAGAATAGTCTAAAATTTTTTTACTTATTAAATCAAGCCAGAACTATTTCCGGATCCAGCAGCTATATCCCCACAGCTTACTATAAAGAAAGAATATTACTTGTCAATAAGACCTATTCCCAGGCTGGCCAAAAGAGACAAAAAAAAGTCCTGTTTAGTAATATAACTAAGGCTTATTAATTTATATAGAAAGTCCTCGAGCTTCTTACTGTAAGCGGTAGAGAGAAAACCAAAGATCCTAATATCAAGCGGCTACAGTAAATAAGTTGAATAAAACAGATATATTATTAGTAGGATCCTGTTAATATTACAGTAGTCGATAAATTTTATAGTAAAATAAGATCCATGACTATCAAGAATAAGAAGCCTCTATCGCCTGTATATCTTGTCCTTAGTTTCGCGGTCAAATATATTAGTTAACCAGATATATCCTAGCTTATCATTAATCCAACCGCTTACAGAGAAGGCGAAGAAACAAGAATAAAGCTTCAGATCAAAGTCTTGAAACCAGAAATTTTATATATTACTAATAAAAGCCTGATAAATAAGACCCGGTAAGAGAGAGGTTTCGTCAACACAAATACAAGCAATTAAGATTATCTACTCGCGATTTCCATCCTGTAGATATTACTTAAGTCCTCCCCCAGCTATATATTTCTGCTTTGAGAAGATTCTGAGACCTTTAACCAGTATTTTAATAAAAAATCCTTTCTTATCTATATTATAGATATCCTCTGGCTGTAGCTCATATTACTGCATCTTCCGACTTAACAGCTCGAAATATAAAGTATATCTATACACAGAATCGGCTCGCTTTCTCGCCGCATCAATAGCTGTTATATAGATTGAGATAAGCTCATCTTAGTAACACTTTATAAAGCGCCCAGACCAGTATTTTCCGGGGTTTATACCAGTAATTTCCTTTGCAAAATTCCGAAGCATCTCATAGAAAGCAAAGAGGCCTCGATCAGTAAGCTTATTGATATAGCTTATTAGTTCTTTTTCATATTAGTTGGTAAGAACTCGCTGTTGCCTATATTAATAATCTCTTGGACACTGTACCCCACAGTGGCACCTTAATAATATTGTCCGATCAACACCAAACTCTTTCACAATTTTAGTATAATTAATCAAAGCGCCAGTCTCCAAGGCATTTATTGCTTCTATCGCGGCTTCAATTGAACCCATATTGGTTGAGATATAAGCTGTTGAAAATCATCAAAAAAACAGTCGGTGAGGGGAAACCGGGCGTCAGGTGATCACCTACTGTATATGATCATATGACCACAACATTAAAGCTAGGGCTACCGTTGTTGGCTTTGGCGACCCCTCAAACAATGTTCCAGCCTTGGAGCAGCTACGATTGATTAAATCAAACGGAGCTCGGTGTCAGGGTGGGTCTTGACTCTTAAGAGTGTTAACCCTCTGAGAGGTTTACTACGTAACCCCATTTGAATCGGCAATATTCCGTATTGCCTAGTAAACTATGCCTAAAACTAAAGGGGTCAAATTGACAGACAATTAGATTTAGTTCTTTCTATATGTCTGTAAAAGATATCGCCAGGGCCCGATATTCCACAAGACCAAAAGATCAAATAATTCTGGATCAACGATCCAGAATGCCCTGGTCAGACCTAGTATATAAATTAGTATATTATTTGTCAGCTGCCCTAATACTAAAATGGAATAGTCTTAGGGCTGGCTTAAGAGGATATAAAAATAGAATAATAGTATAGATTGAATGATTAGATAGGGTAGAATTGACTTGAAGAGATCAAATGAATGAATAGGTGTCAGCTTCCCTAATCCTAAAGCGGAATAGTCTTAGGGATCAGCTTCAGAGGATATAAAAATAGAATGATAATATAGATTGAATAACTAGATAAGATAGACTTGAAGAGATCAAATGAATGAATAGGAAATCTGACTATCTGATAATCAGATAGTTGGTGTTACGCCCGGGTGTTCGTCCAAGGACTCTGCGACCAGTTAGCTACCTGGGTTAGACGCGACTTACCTGATGACTAGAATCCGCTAGCGATCAGTGACTATAAGTGACCCGATATGGTCCGAACGATTCGATAGTACAACGTAAACGATACTACTGTAAATAGTTCAAGGTGGAAAGACCAGACTAATTGAGTATATATACTTAATTGTTAGATAGTGCGAACGAGTTAAGCTAGTAATATATACAAAAGATATACCTTCGAAATAGAATATAGCTATTAAATAATAATTTGGATTGATTATATAGAACTAATCTAAGTATATGAATAAGTGTCCTTATATCTTTTTGATCCCTGAGTACCAATCTGGTCTATGGTATACTATGTGGTCTATATATACTATAATAGTACCCGTATACCATTGCTTGGCGAGTGTATACTATTTATTTACGTGACTTCCGTGGGTATTTGCTTGTTTTGTGTCAGATATACTATATAAAGGGTATATCCGTGTTTACCAGGATTATATTTGATTAGTGTTACTGTGCTAACACCGAGAGTTCTCAATATTATTGTTCTGGTAATGTTGAGGCCCCTCTATATTATTGTGGTTGTAATATTTCGTTTCTGCTGATATTTACGTGCTCGAATATTATGGGTTCGATAATATTCTGCCAGTGGTAATATTTCACCGCTTATTGTTATCGTAATCTTTTATATTATCCTGGTCATGCCGCACTAGTCTGGGTCTGTAACAGTTGGTTGATGATCTGCTTGAATCAAAAAGATCATTTAGTAGATACTTTTAGGCCTTATTTATAGACAATTTTTAGGCCTTACTTTTGGTGAATGATTTCAAATCAATATAGAATTAGTGAATTTGTCATCATAACTAATTCTGACTAATTCTTAATTTCTAATGATTTCTAATAATTTATAATAAATTATTAGAAATCATTCAAAGTCATAAATCATAGATTCCTTCTAGACCTTGATTGAAAATAAGATTTCAATCTAGTCTAAAATAGGTAATACTATAGAAGCTTTCTAGAATATTTCCTAAATAGGAAATTTCACTCCGACACACCCCCCCAGATTTAAATATCTAAAAATAGATATTAAATCTGAATAGAAATCAGTAGATAGGTCATATCAAAAAATCGATAGATAAGTTGATTTAAAATCAGTAAAAAGATCGATTAAAAATCACTAAAAAATTGAATAGATTGAAATAGGGCTAATTCAATTTAGGCCCTAGAAATCGATATCGAGAGATAGATAAAATAGGACTTATCCAATTTAATATCCTAGTTTGAATCGGTTGAATCGGTTTCATTGAATCGATTAGATATATCAGTCATATTTAGATAGTTTAGAAAAATCTGATATTTTTAATTAGACAGATTTTTAGTTAAACCATCTGCAGACATCTGATTAGTCGGTTTCCATATAATATCAATATTTTTAGCTCTAATTTCCTGTCTAAGCCAAAGATTTTGAATATCAATATATTTCAGCTTAGATCTATATACAGAATGGTCATCTGTAAGCAGCTAAATAGTCTGCTTATTATCACATTCTATATAGAGCTTTTGATTAGGATTAAAGTTTAAAACCTTAAATAAATATTTCCACTATAGGAATTACCTACTAGCGCTAGTTAGTGCTAGTAATTCAGCTTCAATAATTGATAAGATAACTATTTTCTGTTTCCTAGCTAACCAATCTATAGAATCACTATATAGCTTGCAGATATATCCTTCAGAGCTCTTTTTATCTAAATAATCTACAAAAGCAGCGTCACTAGCCATTAAAAAAATAGGGCTAGGATTCAGTATTCTAGTTTAATTTAATTAGTTAAAATCTATAGAGCTAGGGCTAGGCCCTGAGTATTCTATAGATAGATAT